ATCTCAGCAGATTGTAGGCTTGTCATCTGCCATCTAGAAAAAAACTGCATTTCTTTAAACAGCTCTCAGAATGCTCATCTGCCTGAACTTGGGCTGCTACAGATCGTGAGCGCTTCAGAGACTCAAGTAACAGGTTCATTTCCAGAACAAACAAATTCCACTCTCTCCTGTCCTGTATTCATTCAGATGTGTGTGTACATATATATATGTATATGCATACATACACACACGTAGTTTATATGTATGTATTTGGAGAGCAGTATTGTTGCATACTCTGTAAATTACCAGTCAACAGATAAAACAAAACAAAACAACAACATGGATTTTTCTCTTAAAAAAAGTCATTTGGGTTGATTAGGAGGCCATGGGCACGCCCTTCCCATCTTTGAAGCATTGAAATGCACAGCTAGATTGTTCCTAGTTGTTCATATGTACTTCAGTTCAATCAATATCTGATTCATTTTGACAGTTTTGGGATCCAGTGAGGCTGAGAATCCTTGTTATACTTGAATAGGGCCAATTTTTCATGGATTTTCTTAAAATATTTTGCAACCCAACTCCCAATAAGTTTTGATTAAATTTTTATTTCTCTCCCTTTAATATAATACTAGATTATTTAATGTTCTAGGAATTGGGGGAAAGAGATGCTTAAAATTAGAACATTTTCTGTCACTGTAATTACCCAAAAAAGCCATTACTGTTATTTCCTGGACTGTTTGGGTGTGGGGAGGGGCAGGCAGGCAGCAGCTCAGCATTTGCATCTCATGCTCCGGTCAGTGTAGCAGTTCTTATCATTTCATTGGCTGCAGACTTCCCACTGCGAGTATCTGGAAATCTGGGGAAATTAACACCAGCCCCCCAGAAACCCTCAATCAGTGGCTGATGAGAATTAAGGTGTAATTACTTTGCTCCCTCCCCCCTTGGGGGAGGTGACTTAGGCCTTTCCTGGTGGAGGTAAGTTCTAGTCACAGCCTAACACCCCGGCTCTATTGAGCACCCTACCTTTCCTGGGCTACCCTGTCAGGAATCCTTGCACCTCCCCAGTAAACTATTTGCAATCACATCCTTGTCTCAAACCAAACCCTCACTTTGTGGGGATACCTAATCTAAAACAAACTTTACCATCAGGCAACATTTTAATCTATTATCCTCAGTAGACAAAAAAAGTCTTGGTTTAATCTACCTAACAGGTACTTTATGTATCTTCATTATCTGTGTTGTCTACTAAATAATGTCTTTGTTGTTATTTTTCCTTTTAAAAGGAAAGTTGTGTACATCTAAAATATGACTGAGACAATTAAAATACAATGAAAGCATCAGAAAAATAAGTACCTATATTATACATAATCTTTTTTTATTAAAGTATTGTTGATACACAATCTTATGTTGGTTTCAAATATACAACAGTGGTTCAACAGTTACCCATATTATTAAATCCTCACTCCCTCTAGTGTGGTTACTATGTATCAATGTAGTAAGATATTACAGAATCATTGTATTCTCCACTGTGCACTACCATCCCTGTGATCAACTTATATTGTGACTGTGAATTCCTGTGCCCCTTTATCTCCTTCCCCCTCCCTCTTCTCCCTCCCCAACCCCTCCCCCTTGGTAACCACTAGTCCCTTCTCCGTGTCTCTGAATCTACTGCTGTTTTGTTCCTTCTTTCTTCTTTGTTTTTATACTCCACAAATAAGTGAAATCGATAGGGTACTTGTTTTCTCCTTCTAGCTTATTTCACTAAACATAATACCCTTTAGATCCATCCATGTTGTTAGAAATGTGAGGATTTCTTTTCTTTTTATGGTTGAATAATATTCCACTGTGTATATGTACCACATCATCTTTATCCATTCCTCTGTTGGTGGACACTTAGGTTGCTTCCATATCTTGGCTATTGCAAATAGGACAGTGATAGACATAGGGGTGCATATATCTTTTTGAATCAGGGATTTTGTTTTCTTCGGGTAAATTTCTAGGAGTGGAATTACTGGGTCAAATGGTATTTCTATTTTTAGTTTTTTGAGGAACCTCCATATTGCTTTCCACGGTGGTTGCACCAAATTACATTCCCACCAGCAGTGTAGGAGGGTTCCCCTTTCTCCACATCCTTGCCAGCAATTTTTGTGTCTTGGCTTTTGGATAGTAGCCATCCTAACTGGGTTACACACAATCTTTTAAGAGTTCCCAGCCTCAATAGTGACACTTCATAACAGAACAGAATATGTACCAAGTGATACATTTAATGACTAAACTTATGATTAAATGTTTATTGTGCTTTTCATAGCATCTTCTATATTATAGGATAGCCAGGGACTTAAAAATCTGTAATATTAGTGATGATAAGGTCTGAGGTCAAATACCATTTAATGCACATTAATGTAAGAGCTCTACATTATAATTTGCCCCTGAAATGTCTACAATACCATTGAATGCAAAGTAAATGATTTTGCGGAATTGGAAATTACACATGGAAAAGTCACCTGAACCTTGAAAGACATGGGGTAATTGTGACTCTCCTAGGGTCTATGAGGGCTGTTAATTGCTTGGGTTTTCAGCTGCCATCTGGGCTCCTGTATGTGCCAGTTCTCCTGGAATTGCACAGCCGTGACCATGTGGGCTTTGGGGTCACAGGTCATGATAGAACCAAATTCATGATCATTAGCTGGAAGCACAGTCTGTCTGTGGAGGGCGGGGCCAGTAGTGTGTCCTGTAATGTACAGAGAGGCAGCAGGGCCGGGGGCGGGGCCGGGGCAGGCACGGCCTGGGTACCAATCCTCATTCTGCCACGCCAGTGTCATCAGATAAAGTGAAGTAATTCATATCCCTCAGGGTATCTATAAAGATTTAATTGATAAGGTGATTTAAGCATAGAGCCTGATAAATGATAAGCTCTTGGTAAATGGTAGCTATCAATCATTAGGGTAATTTATTTTCCAAACTAGTACACTTTCAAAATGAAAAGGTGGGGGCTAAAATGATACATATTATATAACATATATGTACATATTTTATGTAGCTTAAAAATTATTTATGTATTGACTGATCAATTAATTTTATTATATGGATAAGCCTATAGAATAGTTTTGTTTAAAAACCTTTGAAAATGAAATTCTTTCCAAAAAATAAAAATATCCTTGTTCTTTAAAAAAAAACCCTTTATGTATCTTACTTGAACATGAAAAATAAGTTGAATGATAGTTGCATATTCACATAATTCTTTTTTTAGTCATATCTGTTTCTAATATCAGTTCACTGGCCTTTTTCTTAATATGGACATACTATTTTTAATTGTTCCTAATGTCTGCAATATTTCATAGAGGTACTTTATATTAGTAAAATTGAAATTGTTTACACCTTCAATTGACTCTTCTCTGTAAACTGTAATAGTTTTAAACATCATCTCTCTGCAAGAACTGGGTTACTGGGTAAAAACTAAATGAATTCTGCTTAAATGGAAAGTGTTCTCAATTGTTGTATTTTTGTAGTAAAATGAATAGGAAATCAGCTGAGGTATAATCCTTGATTCTTTCTCCCCATCTGTTCTGAGTACCTTTCCTTGACAGATGTTTCAAGGAGGCAAATTCAACAAATAAATTATTTCCAGATATGATTCTTTTGATGTTTGTTCAAACTGAGATGCTACAAAATCATAGACCCTCTTAATTTGTTCTGTACCAGTGGACATTAGAAAAGTTTCTCTCCACAAGTGGAATTGTTCCAAAGAGCAGCTATGGGTTTTTATCTTGGACCTAGTTTGAAGGCTCATCATTTGATTTATTCCCTCCTGTCTTTGCTGTAGTTGAGATGATTCCGTGTGTTCCTTTTTGCCAGGCTTGTTTTTCAGTAATTGTAATTCTCCAAAAGCTTAAGAAGTTGAGGAGTTTTGGTGCCCCTTGAGTTCTTTGACTAAAATTTCTAACTGATATTGAACTAAGCACACCCCAAATCTAGAGGACTCATTTATGGAAAGGTTTAGTACCATTTCTGGACACATATTGATTACTAAGTTGCTCCAGTTTGTGATGGATGGTAAAGGGCGCGGTCTGGGGTTGCCATGCTGAAGTAGTTCTTTTCTCCCCACTTTCGTTGAGAAATCATTGGCATGTGTCACGTAGAATTTTAATGCATACGGCATGATGGCTTGACTTACCGTATTGTGAAATGATCACCGTGATAGGGTCAGCTGACATCCATTTTCTCATATAGATACAATAAAAAGTAAGGAAAAACAAGAAAAAATTTTCTATCACACGGCACTGCTAGCTATCGTCGGCATGCTGTATGTTTCACACTAGGGCCTATTTACCTTATAACTGGGAGTTTGTACCTTTGACCCCGTTCCTCCAGTTCCCCGCCCCCCTCCACTTCTGGTAACCACATATTTGATCTCTTTTTCTATGCGTTTGTTTTAAGATTCTACATATAAGTGAGATCATACAGTATTTGTCTTTCTCTGACTTATTTCACTTAGCTAATGCCTTCAAGCTCCATCCATGTCACAAATGACAGGATTTCCTCCTTTTTTAGTGAGTATTCCATTGTGTGTGTGTTTCTGTCTGTCTCTATTTATCTGTCTATCAGTATATATATCACAACTGCTTTATTCATCAGTGGCATTTAGATTATAGCCATGTCTTGGTTATTGTAAATAGTGCTGCTTTGAGCCTGGGGGTGGAGCTATCTTTGAGTCAGTGTTTTTGTTTCTTTGGATATATTCCCAAAAGTGAAAGTGCTGGATCATATGGTTGTGTTTTTGTTGTGCTTTTAATTCAACATCAGTTTCAACAAAAACTTGGCATATTAAAAATTTGCGAATTTTGACATATACAGTTTTAATTGGTACAACAGTGCAAATTATGACTTACTGCTTCTTTGGGTGAAATTATGACCTGCATTTACACTGTTAGGGTGGCCTCTCTGTTTCCTAGTTGTCTTGGCTCGAGCTGCTGTAACGAAATACCAGGCACTGTTTCAACAAATAGAAGTTCATTGCTCACCATTCTGGAGGCTGGGAAGTCCAGGGGGAACGTGCTGGCAGATTCACTGTCCGGTGAGAGCCCTCTACCTGGTTTGCAGGCGGCCATCATCACGTTCTATCCTCACGTGACCCTTCGTTGCTGTGAAGACAGAGTGGGAGGGAGAGAAGGATGGGCCGGGGGTGCTCTGATCTTGTCCTCTTCTTGTAAGGGCATTAATCCCCTCCATCCTCATGACCTCCCCAAAGCCCCGCCTCCAGATACCATCACATTCTGCACGACTCCTGGGGGGACGCAGGCATTCAGTTCACAGCCCGGCTCACGCGCCTCACCCAGTGCTGGACGAAGGCACAGAAGAAGCCAGGAAATACAAAGGGCCACTCAGCCAACCTCAGCTTCTTTCAAGGTGACCGTTGACAGCAATTTTCCTGAAAGTGAAGACATCCAGGCAAATATTAAACCAAACAGGATGACAGGACAATAGGCCCAAATCAGGCCTGTCCAGGACAAAAAGGGACCCAAACCGTTAGGAAGGATGGCACTTTGTCTTAAAGGAAGTTTTTACATAGGAACACTAGAGGGCGCGTTAGACCAATTAAGAACCTGCCAATCTGCACAAGGAAGCGCATACTGTGCCGGATTGATGCTGCAAATTTCAGGAGCGAATGGTTAAGTCCGCACTAGGTGGTTTTGATATTCCATGAACACGAACAAATTCAATACAAATGTTTTGGTGTGCGTCCCCAGCTCCCCCATGCTGCGGGTTATGATAATCCCATCTTTGTTTTACTTAAGAATGCCTTAAAAAATCTTCAGAGGGCCTTAAGGCTGCAGGTTGGAATGCAATCTACCCTCACTGAGATTTTTTTTTTCCTGGGTGTGGGGTAGGGGACGAGTGCTATACTGTCAGCTAAACAACTGTGACATTGTTGTTCTTTAGATGTGAACCTAATGATATTGTAGATAAACGTGCGTCTATTGTTCTTGTCATAAATGCTGATAAGTAGGGGTGGGTAATGAAGGTAAATTCTCAAGTCTTCAAGGAAACAGTATGAACCGCGAGAGAAAATGTCTGGCCTGACCTCTGGCCAGAGCTGAGGTTCTGTTCCCAGCTCTGGTTTTGGGCAAATCTTATAATCTTTCTGGGTTCCTTTATCCGTAAAGTGATGAGGTTGAGCTAAATAACTCCTAAGTGTTTTTCAAGTCCGGAACTCTCTAATCCTGACTACCACTTAACATTGATTAATTTTAAATTTATATTTTCATGCAAGTGTCACATCTAGAAATTACCTTCAACTCAAATCATGAAGCCTGTGACACTGGGAAAACTTGACTCAGGAGAAAGCGGGAGGTAGGCGGTCCCCTGTTTTGGGGTCACATTTCAAAGATGAAATGGTCCATTTCACAATAGAAAGAGACAGCTAGAAAATCCTCAGACAAGTGCTGCTGCCCGAACTCAGATTTTCATTGAAGCAAAAATGATGGTCAATTGTTTATATTTCATTGACTTCCCTGCTAAGATTCACATTATGTGAATGGCCAGAAATCACTTGAGATTTTAAATTAAGCCTCATCAGTCTATTTCTGATGCTATAAAAACACCTGAGGTAAACATTTGCCAGACAGACCTCAGCTCCATCTGCCCTTACACACTGAGGCCAGACTCTCTGTCTGATGGACTATTGTGCTATAGAGTTGTTTTTTTTTTTGACTCCTGAGGAATGCTCTGACTTTCTTGATGGAGTTCATTTCTAAAATAAACATGTTGTTGAATGGTGTACTCTTTACAAGGAAAAATGACCTGTTAGCAACATTCATCTCTGTTGGAAAAACAGTTTAGTTGGTGGAGTTGTACAGCTCCTGTCTTATACAGACATAAAAATGTGATTCTTAGCATGTGTCTGACTCTGTAAGCTTTCAGTGACCTTCTGCATGTCGTCGTGTCTGTGCGTGGTCCCCTGCGTGCACGCGTTTATGCCTCTGTGTGAATGCGTGCGCACCCCTTGTGTCTGCAGTGATGTCACTGTGTGCTCATGCTTCAGGTGTACCGTCACTTACAGTTAGGACCCCCTGGATGATAAATTATTTTAGGTCTTGAAAGTTTCTCCACACTTCATAGTTCCCCATCTGTGATGTTGAAATCAAAATTAAGGAGATCCCGAAGGGAACTTCCATCTCCTGACAGTTTCTTTCTGACTCGCAGTGTGTGGACTGGGCTTTGGGGAGGAAGAAACAGCGACACTGCCCCGGAGAGCAGCGTGAGGCACGGCCGCGGCTGCGTCTCACTCCAGCGAGTGTGGGCAGGTGTGCGCACAGCTGGGCAGGTCTACAAGAGAAAGCCTGAGGAGGTCAGGGTGCGGAGGGTCCAGCCCGTCCAGTCATCAGCCCTGCACTGAGCCCCTGGTTTGTGCCCGGAGGCGTGATGGTGAGAGGAACGTGGAAGTTTCTTCCCTGCAGTCCTGTTGAGGACTAGCAGGTGGAAATAAACCGTGATAAAAACCCTAAGTTTAAGAGGAATCCCATGGGAGCCCAGGAGTTCGGGCCATGGGCAGAGAAGGCCTCCCCGAGGAGCTAACACCTAGTGTCTTTCCAGGGAAGGCAAGGGTTTCCCAGGTGTGACTGCAGGGGTCACGAGCCTGTCACCTGCAGAGTGGTTGGGGGAGGATGCACGCTGGGCGTGTGATGGCTCTTTGACCACTTCACCGGGTCTTTGGTGAACATCCTGGCTGGCTTGAGTTCAAGACGGTGCTTTCCAAACCCATTTTTCCTGTTCCTTAGAGAATCTTCATTTATTTAAGGAGTGCAACCATTTCCTCAGGCATTTATCCAGAAATTAATTTTCATACTCTTCATTAAAAATTGTCAAAAAATGCTGGAAAGAGATGGAAATGGATATCAGTATTTCCACTGTCATTATTAAAGTGGTCATTCTGAGATTATCAGTCAAGACTCTCTTAGTTGCAAGTGACTGAAGCTCCGCTCAAACAAGCGTATGCAAAAACAGGAATTTGTGGGCTCCCGTGATTGGGAAGCCGGAGGGGGTGGAGGCAGCCACAGCTGGTTCGGAATTTCAGATGTTGCCACAGAACTTCTCCATGCCCTTCACCTCTATTCCCCTCGGCTTTCAGTTTTGGTTTCTACAGTTTTTTTTGTTCTTTTTTTAAATACCCTTCTTGAGGATTCTAGTGAGGTGGTCAACTTCAGTTGGCTTAGCATGTGCCAGATGCTATTTTGGCCTCTCTAGCACAAGTGATGGAAAAACTAGGGGAAATTATGAGAAGTAAATCATCTTTCTGTACCCATTCCTCCACTTCAATGGAATAAAAGTGTCCAATATTGAGAAGAAAAAATGCCCCTTGTCATCAGTGAGCAATGAAAATTGAGGGTGTGATAAGCTGATTCAGATAACAACTTACTCTGAGAGCTCAGGATGTGCTAGGGATTTTTCCTAAGCCTTTTTTGTGTAGCACATTTCATTTTTGGCACAAATTTTATCTCCACTTCATGGATGAGGAAACCGAGGCCCTGGGAGTGGAGGAGCCCACCCAGGGTCCCACACCCAGTGTGTAAAAGTGTCTTCAGACGTGGTTCCTAACCATTACCCTGTACAACATGGTCACATGGCATAATAATTAGTGAAGAATATCTAATGAATGACTATTATGTTACAGCAATACTAAGCACATAGTAAAGAAGGAAAAAGGAACCCCACTTCCCCTCCATCTTCATATGAGCGAAAAAATTTCACTTCAGGTTTGTTCCCAGTGGCTAGCACCATGATTCGGTGAATCCGCCCTCAGCTCCCGAGAGCCCAGTGGCTTGGGAATGGACTTTTCTGGGTCACACCAAGGCTTACCTGAAAATAGTTCATGTGGGTTCAAGGCCACCTGCTATTTAACCCTTGGGAAGGGGTGGAGGCACAGAGGGAATAAGAATGGTGCCCACTTCTGAAGAGAAGAGACAAAATGTGTGGAGGAGACACTGCTGACCTCCGCGTGCAGCTCTGTTCTGTAGCCCCCGTCAGGGGACAGCCAAGCCCTTGGGTCCCTCCATAGCCAGACCTCCTTGGGTTGACAACTGTGTCTACTCCTTGCAGAGCCAGAGAGGACGGACAGGCAGGCACCAAAGGGCCAGGAAAACTGGGGGAGGTGGGGTTGGGGGAGGTAGGTATGCGGGTCTCCCTTTGCTAATTTTTTTTTGCTCTTTTGTTGTAATTTTTAAATATGCAAGCATAAAGTCGACCGTTTGTAAGAATACGGTGCAGTGGCCCTAAGTACGTTCACAAATCGTGCAGTCATCCCGCTGTTTCTGGTAGGAACTCCGTGATCTCAGTCCCGGGCAGCCTCTCTTCTCCTTTCTGCCCCTGTGTTTGCCTGGTGTGGGTTCCTTCTGCGAGTGGGATCATACAACACGTGCCCGTTTGTAACCGACTTCTTTCCATTAGCTGGTGTACCTGAGGTCCATCTGCACTGTAGCACGTGGCAGAGCTTCAGTTTTTGTAGAAGTCAGGAAGACTGGCGAGGAGACCGCGTGAGCTGGCCTGGGCTTGCCCTCCGTGGTGGCAGTGGGGGGCGGCAGCGGTGGGGGGCCGTCCTCATGCCCTCCAAGAGGCCTCCAGCTACCTCCTTGCTGTTTTCCAAGGCCAGCAAGGGGTGCAACTGGCTAGGCAACAGAAAACCAGTTTCCCATCCCAACCTGCACTCACATTCTCTCTGTCTGCTGCCTAGAGTACAAGACAGGGGGGTCACTTCATTTATCAGTGAGAGACAGTGGGGAGCTGAGGTGGGAGAAGGCCTGTTAACCTTTCACACTGCAGTGTGCATTTGTGTCATCAGATCATTCTCCAGCACCCCCAGGAATTATGGAGTTGAAGTGGAGAATGGAGTAAGACTGAAGTTGGAGCACAGGTGTGGCAGCCTTATTCTGATGCCGTCGAAGCCCCTGGTATGTGGGAGAAGGAGGCAGAGAAGGGCAGGGGGCCCAGTCTTACCCAGCACCAGGGGGACACTCCCCACCCACCCAGTAGCTGTCATCTGAAGCGTCTAAGATCCCTAGGCCACCTGGAGTCACGGAATGGGGAGAGCTGGATTGCACAGCCCCCCACCTCCTTTTCGGATTCTCAGGTGATGGGGACTTGGAAGAAGCTTCCAAGGCCAGCTCTGGGCCAAGTAATGCAAACAGAGGTTCTTGGGGGAGACCATTTCTGTTCTCTTCAGCCAGGCTCACTCGGTCATTTCCAGCTCTGAGCTCCTGTGGGCGTGACTCTGCACAGGCGTCTGTGTGGGTCTCCGTATGGTGACATGCCCCTAGGAGGAGGGCCCCTGTCACCTCTGCCCTTGTTCTTTCTCAGCCTTGGAACACCGGCCTGGTGGGGCAGAGGTAGCCGGCGCTGATGGCCGGAGGTGGGGAGACAGGAAGGAGGTTTCCACGTGGCGCTGTTGACCTAATTCTGCATTATGTGTTCAGTGAATGAGTTGATTATTTTTATATCATTTCCTGGTAAGTGAATCACCTCCACTACAGTCAGTTTTTCCATATCCCAGTTTCCAGTTGGCCACCACATCTTATTTGCACCCACAAAGCCCCTCTCAGGCTCTTTCCCATCCTTTAACGCAGCAGGCATGATATTGCCTGGTTATTATTTGTGTAGCAGCTGGCATTCCAAACACCCTGTTCTTACACACCATTTGTATGAAGAACAAGTTAGTATTAGCTGCCAAGGCTTTAAGGAGCTGTGTTCTCTGAGCTGTTTCTTTTTACCATCATCACCTTCCCGAGTGATTAAATATGTGTCACAAGATCTGGTTGTCTTTCACTGACTCTCAAAATTGGTTCCTTGTTAAACAAGTTAGTCATTTGTTCCCCAAAGTCACATTCGCCGTTACTGGCATCGCTTTTCGTGTTTCGATTTCAATGAAAACATTAAAACAAATCATTTTAAAAGACATATGCTCTCTTTGTATTTTGAAACCCTGATACTTGTGTTATCTTGATGTCAGTTTGAGCATCAGAGAGATGTCCTGAGCTGACATTCAAGGTCATGGGCGTCAGGGCTTTTTAAAAAAAATCTAAAACTTGCTCAGTTGTGCCCAATTACTGCTGATATGGCATAATGAAAAGACCCTGTGGCCTCGTGTAAATTTGATTTTTGTATCCCCTCCTTGTTTTTCAGTAAACTTTGAGATTCTTTTCACTTCTAAAAATTAAGTGGGAATAATAATTTGACTAACCCTGGCTTTTCAAATTGTTTAATAAATAAGACATCATTGCTTAAAAATTATTTTAAAAAATCAGGACATTCTGAAAGGAATGATTCTTAAGTCCATATTAATCCCTTCCTCTTACATGAATTGTGAGTGTGATTTATGTATGGGTGTGAAACCTATGTTAAGTGTAAGTAATTAATATAGTACCTCTTACAGTAAAATTTCCCTTTCCCCATAAAAAGTATACATTTATTTTATAAGAAGTGGCAAAATTTATATATTTTGTAAGCAGTACAATTTTTAAATTATTTAATGTCAGGTATTTTTTTGCACATTATGCATTATAGTATTTGTGTTTCCTTTTCCTATTCCTAAAGAGAAAAACGAGTTTAGTGGAGAAAGCGGAAAAAGGATTTTGGGTCTCTGTCCTTA